TTTTTTAGCTATGACTAACAACAAACCTAAATTATGGTGTTGAAAATAAATAAGGGTCTCAGAACACAGGAAGTCCAGAGGCAGACACTGCTGGGGTTGGTGCTGCTTCTTCTAACCCTGTGACACTCTCGGCTCTTCCAACTTGACAGCAGTTGGAGCTGTGAGCATCGTGTTCAAAGGCAGAGAAGTAAGAAGGCAGAGGCAGCACCAGCTGCATGCTGCGTCCTTTCCATGAGATAAAGCAATTCCCCGCCCCCCCCCCAGAAACCCTCAGCAGACAACTGCTTAAGTAACATTGTGTAGAATGATGTCACGTGACTACCCTGGCTACAGGGGAAGCTGGGATAGCAAGACTTTGCTTTTTAGTTCAGGGCAGGTGTGGGAAGTTAGCAACAGAGAATAGAGTTAGGAAGAGCTGTTGGGCTGATATAACATTTATGTGATACTGAATAAAATTTGTCATGTCAGGGAAAGCTATTTTGCCCTGTGCCAGTGCAATGGGGCACTTGTGGAAGCACAGACTTCTGTCTTGATCACTGAGGTAACTTTAGCTCTTGGGGCCTTGCAATCACTCAAAATATATTTGCATAATGAATGAATGAATGAACGAGTCAATGACAAGAGCTCTTGGAAGCTGCCTTTTGGGACATTACCAGGTCCTGGTATGATCTACCCTTTCTCAGGCACATCAACCAAGAATCCTTTGGTTCACTCACCTGCCTCCCATCTTCAGCCACGGTTTACCACTGTACCATGTGACCGTCTGTTCTTACACACAGTCCTGCCAGTGGTCTCTGCCCGTGATTTAAACCCGTGAAATGAACCCTGCTCACTGATGTCTTTCTGGATGAGTGAAAGGAGCTGCATTGCTTCCATCACCTCGCCCAGTTTGAAATGAAGCTTATTTAGTGCCTCCCCAGAGCCAGAAATCATGAGCTACATTAAGATAAAGAAAATAAAGATGGGAGGGTGCAACACAAATATTCATTCAGCCCTTCCCATGTTCCAGACGCCAGGCTGGAAATTACATATGATTAGTCACACTCTACCGATGAGGAAGAGAAGCTCACACAATTAACTAAGAGCCTTTAAAAATGTCATAGGTTAAATAAAACAAGATTTTAAAAAAGAAAATATGTTTAATTACCAAAACTTAAAAACTGGTAGGTAGTGGTTAACTGACAGGTTGCCTGACTACATCAAATGCCTTCTCTACACTAAAATGATGAGACCAACTAAAAAAAAAAGGATGCAGAAAATCAAAGAAAGAAACACCAGCAATAAAAGACATTGGAAAATATTTTTGGATGAGGGAAGGTAGAAGCAGAAGGAGTGAGTTAGCAGAGAGAGAAAGCTTCCCTTCTAAAATGCCAAGTATGGAGAAAACCAACAAGAAGCATAGCTTGATAATCATGATGAAGTTCACTGAGTGGTTATTATATTCCTGGCAATTCTCAGTGCTTCACAGGCGTCAGCTTGTTTAGTCCTCACCATGTCAGTAAGATTATTATTTCCACTTTACAGAAACTGAAGCTTCAGTTTCCTCATCTGTATGAGGATCAATGAGAAAACTAAAAAGAGTTCTTGAAAATTAATGTGTTGCCGCCACTAAGAAGAGCTGAGGGCGGCAGCTGAAAGCTGAGGAGTTAAAGCTGCGATGTTTCGTATCAAGGGCCTCACGCTGAAGCTGGACCCAGAGGAGATGAAACGGAAGATGCGTAAGGATGTGATTTCCTCCATACAGAACTTCCTCATCTATGTGGCCTTGCTGCGAGTTACTCCTTTTATCTTAAAGAAATTGGACAGCATATGAAGATTGGGTATCACATGTGAATGTGTGATATGACAAACCTGGTTACAGTTTCTACTCCTGTCTGCAAATGAATAGGCCCAGAAAGGTGTGAGAGACTTTGATTGAGTGGACGTTAATATTCTGCTTGTTAAGAACAAGTTTGGCTCTGGTAATTGACCTTCATAGCTAAAATATAAAACTATTTGGGAATTATGAAAAAAAA